CATTTTTAAATTGTGCTAATGACACGAATGAATGACATTCAGCATATTGTTTTAACTCCACCCGTAATCCTTGTTTCAAATAATAAATACGTTGCTGATCTGTCATATAAATATCATATTCATCGCACAATTGATTTTTCTTTTCATAGTATTCAGCAATAGATTCACGAATACCTTGTTGACGTTGTACCAATCTAAGCAATAGTTCCTCAGGACTTGCCATTTGTGGCGGGGGATAACGATTCATCAATAAATCAACAAGCGAATTCCACGTTACTGCATATTGTTGATGAGACTTAAAAAAATCGCGCGCACCACCACTTAGTTTTGAAATAGCTAATAAATAACCATCATGATCTGATATTTCTTGATCATCACATGCTTGACGAATATCTCGAAGCCACTGTTTTACATTGTGTTTCAATTCGCCAGAAAATTGCGGGATATCAAGCATTCTTTTTTCTTGTTGTGTTTGTATTACCTTACTTACACATGAGGATAATGGTACTTTGCTGGTAACTTGTTTGCTTAAAATCTGAGACATGCCACGATTGGGTAATAGGTTTGGTTGTTCATGAATGATGGCATTTTTTAAAGGTAAGGGTGAGTTGTTAATTGGAAAATTATCCCAGTCCAATGAAAGATGACGCTGTCTAAATGACACCTGCGATTGAAATTTTGTTAAAATTTCTGGTTCTCTATTGATAATGACAGGTTTAATTGTTGCATGATATCCAGCACCCGTTACTTTCATTTGTGGTTGTTGGTGTCTCATGTCACCATGTATTTCACCACTCTGAGTAATACCAGTTGAATTATGTTGTATTTCTGTTTGCCTATCATCTAAACCTTCTTCATTAATCAAGCATAAACCATCTTCTGCAAAAGCCATTTCTTCTTGTGATGATGATTGATGATGCTTGTGTTTGCCATTATTGTTCTCAATCTGAATATTAAACGACGATGAGTGACGTAGCTGTTGTTCGCCTGTTGGTTTATCCATTTGCGCATGTAAATCAACATTTAATGCTGACGTAAGACTCTGACTGTCAATATGAGCTGTTGTTTCTTATGGTTGCTTCCTTGTTGATCGTAAATCGTATGAATGCGACATTTAAACTTCTGACTCACTTACACTAAATCACATTAATATTGTACTGCCAATAATTCCAAATGCTTTCCTTTCTTCTCTGTCGTTCGTTCGAATTTGTTATCGATGTTGTATACTGATAACAACCGGCTAGTGCACCAATGTTAGCGGGTTGACCTTCTTGGATGATGATGACTATATTTCACGTTTATTAAAACAGATTCAATAATCAACATGCCTCTTCTACAGAAAAACGCACTATATATATACGGAAAGAAAACGATCACGCCATATAGTTAACAAAGATGATCAGACCATATAGTAAACAGAAAGGATGATCAGACCAAATAACGAATAAAGAAGATGATCAGACCATATAGTAAACAGAAAGGATGATCAGACCATATAACGAATAAAGGAGATGATCACGCCATATAGCTAACAAAGATGATCAGATCATACAATAAATAGAGAAGATGATCAGACAATATCACAGAGAAGATGTCGAGTGTCACTCGCTAACACTGTTACCCCCCCCCTAGAAACAACTTGTAATACAGTCCTGAACCTTTTTGTGTACGTGTTCCATGGAACTGAGAGTGTAGTTGTTGCTATACTCCATGTATAGAAAACATCTCGAAACCCTTTCTTGGTTATGTTTCTGAAATAATAACCAAAAAATAGTTTCCACAAAAAGTATTAAATAGTTTTTGTCAACAACAACTGCTTCCTATCCGCAGTAAATCAGAACAAAACCGCTGTGAAGCCTGGTCTAACTCAGATATATCCACATCCGCACCTGTGGCATTCACTGCTTCAACATTTGCCACCATCGTTCCTGCTGCCATAGCATCTGCATCACAGCTTCCTAGTCATCTGCAAGCTCTGACATTGATCACTCAACAATTAATCGCGTCAAGAGCTGGTATAACACTTTCTGCTTCAACCTCGTCATCCAGAGCTGCCCTAGAACAACATCAGGAATATTGTCCTACGATGGTGGATTCACAACATGTATCATTTCAACAACATCCATTATCAACAAATTCATATAGAAAAACAATAAATAATCCATTATCATCATCGGAACCACGACTCAGACCCGTGCCAATGACGCCACATACAACTTTGTTGATAGAACAAGTTCGTCAATTGCAACATGAACTTAAACAAGAAATATCAAAAGTTGGCCGCCTTCAGGAGGAGAATGCAACTCTAAAGCATTCCAGTTCGTCTACATCAAATAAACACTCATGCACTCAAACAATTGATGAATGTTCCTCTGAAATTTGGGATGAAATAAATCTTAGTCCCAAAGCTGCCATCAAGAAGTCAAAGAAATCGAGAAAATCATTAAAGAAACTTGATCGACATCCATCACCATCCATACCAACTGGTGATGAAGAGATGACACCAAAACATCATTCACAAAAATCAACAAAAATTTTACAACCATCAGCAACACCTATGTTGAATCTAACGATGTTCATATCCGATAATATTACAAAATTCGGAGGGACAACAAAAGAGGCTCCAGGCAGATTCATTATAGAATATCAACAAAAAGCCAAAACTGCCTATGGATGGTCAGATCAAGCAACGCTCAACGGAATTAGTCATTGGCTAACAGGTGCTGCTGCTGAATGGTGTCAACAATTAGTGCAAAGTGATGAACTTCCAGCCACCTGGGGTGAGTTTGTAAAACTATTTCAAGCTCGATTTCAATCACCCGAACGAACAGAAGCTCTGAAAATCAAAAGAAATCGTTGCATGCAGCAGTCAGATGAATCCGTAGCAGATTTCTATCAGAGGTATAAGGGACTAGCATTGGAAATTGATCCTAAAATCTCAGAAAAAACGCTCAAAAGGCACCTCTTTCCGAAGCTACGTCTGGATATCCTTCAATTAATGGGCGGAGTTGATGCTGATAAATTAGCGTTGCCAGATCTGATGAGAAGAGCAGCTAAAGTTGAATTACACATACTTCAACGAAAGAAAGGAGGTCAACAGAGAACTGGCGAATTAGCAGAACCCTCCATGGCAATGAAGTCTTCGAGAAATCAGGAACAACGAGAAATCTATTCATATACAACAAAAAGATGTTCAACTAATCCTGAATCCGTAGTAGCTGCCATTGAGTAGAAAACGCTGCCACCAACCAGTTCTCTAGAGCAGCCATCATTTTTGTCACCTGTAAATCAACAAAATCTCCAACGAATAACGCAGATGCTAATAAGATTAATCAAGAGTGGTGGAATCGAGGACAGAACAACAATCGTAATAGCTCTAATTCACAGAATGTTCCCAGATGGCAACAAAGAAATTCTGATCAAAGAAATCAATCAACTACGTGTTCAAAATGTGGAAGGATCGGACATTCAACAAACTATTGCTTCTCGGACAAAAGTTGTACATATTGCGGACGGATCGGACATATCGAAGCAGTTTGTCGAACTAAAAAAAGATCGCAAAAAGCCTCAAATTTGCCTCGACAACATACGAATAATCAACATTTAAACTAATAAAGAAAAGGTACAATGAGGATACACCTACTTCCATATTTACAATATCCTCATGTGTCGCACGATTTGTTGATCCTCGATCATCACCTCAGGAGGATAAAATGGTATCAGTGAAACGAACTCACGAGGGAAGGTCCCCAACTGGCAAATCGCTTTTTATCCCTTTTCTAGTGGACAATAGGTAATCGACTATGCTGAATCCGAATATCATAGTGGCTTGGGCAGTTAGGCCTTATAAGATCCGGTTTTT